CAGGTTGGGCACATGCGTCCTGCCGCTGCCAGCCCCGTGCACCCTCCCCCACGTGCCGGCACAGGGGCGGGGCCGCGCATGCGTCCTCCCCCACATACAGGTACGGTGGCGGGGCCGCGCATGATCCCTCCCCCAACCTAGGGTGCAATTCAATTGTCTGACTGGGGCACCAGAATGGCTCGGTCTGGCCCTGCATGGGAATGAGGAAAGTGGCTGGTGGCCCGCTCCATGCACGAAGTCATGTGCTCCATCACTAAGGTGAGGGAGGAGCACATGGCCTTGTGTTGGCATGCCAGCTGGTCCCAGTATGTCCTCCTCCATTCCCAGTCAACCTGGTGCACCTCCTGGTCAGCAGCCCGCTCCTGGTGCTCCTCATTGAGCTCCTGGATGAGGGACTGGAGCCAGGCCACACAAAATACTCACACTCTCTAGGGGAACCCACTCTTACCTGTTTGTAGGGCTCAGGTGTAACCTTTCCAATATAGGCACCCTCCCTCATCCATTCCTAGGGCTCAGGCGTAACATTACATTTTGCAGGTTTGTGGAATCTTTTACCAGTGAAAGAGCCTTACACAGTGATAGCCTACTTAATCTCTATTTATTATTATCAAAAACAAATGCACACACCAGGCATACAGTGCTCACCACTCCCAATGAGACAGATGAACTCATCTTGATGGCCAGTCAGGATCAAGTCCATCTGAGGGACTCCAGTTTCACAATGGTGTCATTGGCACAGGGTTGAGGTCTGGCAGCTCTGATCTTGGAGCTGTGTCCTGGAGTTGGTTCCCAAAGAATTTTCTTTTGGGTCCCAATTTATATAGTGAAACCTGAGACCTGCTTAGCTATACTGTAACCAATTGTTTTAGTTTAATTTTACTAACCAATTATAACATACTGTAACACAATTACCTAATCAAGCAGACCCCACCCCCTTAGTTGATTTACACCTAGCATAATTAATTACGTAGCAGAAAGAAACAATTAAAATCAAAGATCATACAAACAATAACAAAGTGAGGACCATAATAATAGAATGAGGATTCTACAACCTCAACTATTGATAAACTGTCTTTTGCCAGATGAAATGCGGTTAAACTAAGTCTTCTTTACTCATCTTGAGATGTTTCTTTATCTGGTGACAGTGGGTGCCATTAGGACAGAGTCTCCTTAACAGTCTGATTTTACACTATTTTTATGCAATTAAGATAGAATGTAAGAGTGTGACTTCAAGCTTTACAGCTAATGGCTGCTGCTCTTCAATCTGGCTGCAGAGGAAGGCTTTAGGCCTTTCAATATGGCTAGAGGCCTTCCAATATGGCTATAGAAAAACCATATTGTTACACTGACGCAGCAGGTGAGTTTCCTTCAGTGGGTCCTGGTGGTGGATGTGCCACGCTCACAGCTGGCGCAGCTTTGAAGAAAAGTAACGAGGGCAGTCATCCCAGGAGAAATTGCATATGAAGTCTAGCCCTAATCTCTGAGCCAACACTGAGGGTCTCAGTTCAGACAATGGCTGTGTGCTTCGAGCAAAGCCGTATGTTGCTTAGACAATAGGCATTTTCCTGCAGGGGCACGTACATCCCAGGGGAGCATCACAACACCCATGGCCTGGGGAAAAGCAGGCATTGGAAGATGCTGGCCAGGCCAGGAGCCTGTGGGTGGGAGGGAGGACAGGGAGGCTCATCTTCCTTCTGTGTCCTACACACACCAGGTTCAGCATTGGCAGCGTCCTGCAGAGAGAGAACTTCTATCTCTGACCCCTGGAGGAGGGGAGGGGAGTGTGGGGAGGCCATTTGCCAGAGAGAGTGCTACAGGGATCCCCTTCTCTGCCTCCCTCCCTCAGGTTCCCATACAGGGGATCAGTCTCCTCCACATCACCACACTGAGTGCAGGCATAACCCTGTGGCATGTGTGGCACTCCTGTGTATTTACATGACCCCAGCCTCCTGAGCGATGGCTTATCATGGGAAGGTGTCCCACCATGGAGGTCAGAGTAAGGCAGGCCGCTCCAGGAATCTTGTGAGAAGGACCAAGGGGTTCCTGTGTGAAAGCATCAGAGGGCTGGGTGCTCTGGACTGCACTCCATGTGCACCAGGTGCCCAGGCTGTTGTGCAACTCCCAGGCCGAGTAAGGCTAGCGAGGAGCATGCAGCCCCTCGCAGTCCATCACCTGCCCCTGTGTGTCTAGGGAAAGTTATAAGACTCACCTGAAGTGCCTTTCCCGGGTTCATCCAATGTCTGGGAGACATCGTAGGAAGCGGGGGACTAGTCCTACGGTGAGGAACAGGCATGGTTGCATGGCTGGCCTCCTCCTCCTCATCATCTGCAACCCTGCCCTCGAGGAGGCTGACACTGAGCGTGTCCTAGCTCCACTCAACAATGATGGTGCGGGTGGCTGGTCCCCTTCCCAGGATGGCATTGAGCTGCTGATAGTAGTGGCACGTGTGAGGTGCCATCCCAGAGTGTTTGCTTTGCTCCCTGGCCTTGTAGGCTTGCCAGAGCTCCTTGATTTTCATCTGGACCTGGTTGAGAGTCTGGGTGTGGCCTTTGTCAGACAAGCTGATGGCCTTCCGGCTTTCTGGTTTGGAGACCCTGGAGGTTGGTCTCCTCTCCCCAGACCTCGATGAGGTCCAGGATCTCTGCACCTGTCCAGGCCTGTGCTCTCCTATGTCCCTGGCCAGGGGCAGCTAAGAGTGCTGTGAGAGTGCTGGCAGTAAAGGGGGGGCTCAGACGGAGCACTGAGATCTGCCATGCTCCATCTGCTGAGGCTGTAAGGCACAGAGCTGGCAAAGCTCTCCACATGCCACAAGTCCTTTTCCTGCAGCCTGCTGCTTTAAGCTCTGCAGGAGAAGGGGAGCAGTGGATCTGGCAGGTGTTGCAAGAGTGGCCCCAAGTACAGATGTGAGCAGCATTATTATGAAATAACATAGTCCGCGTCTACACAGCAAGCAGTTATTTTGGTGTAATGTCGAAATAATGTCAAGCTGGGGGACTCCTTACTATGACTCCTATCACCTCATTTTACAAGAAGTAAGGGAAGTCAGAGGAAGAGTGCTCTAATTCGGACTTCCAGCTGTGCAGACAGCGCCAAAAGCTGAAATAAGTTATTTCGACTTAAGCTATACAGCTCAAGTTGCATAGCTTATTTTGGCTTTGACATGCCCTGAGAGACCTCTAGAAGCCAATTATTTTGAATTAGCAGCACCGGATCATCCACACTAATGCTAGTTCAAAAAAAAACAATTTCAAAATAAGCGTTATTCCCCGAGGAAAGCAGGAGTACAGATTTCAAAATAACCAGCCCATTATTTTGAAATAATGGGCTTGATAGTGTGGATGCTCTGCTTGATATTTTGAAATAAGAAGTGTTATTCCGAAACAGCTCCCTAATGTAGACTGGGTCTATGTGTCATAAGAAACCCTATTTTGGCACCTTGCCATTGGAGGATCACCCTTGTTCTGGGGTGATCCTCTCTGAAAGTTAAACTGAATTCTTAAGTATGATAACAGTGCCATGCAGCATGGAGCAACTACACTGCACTGGTGAGTCTGGACATGCATGTGTGTATACATATGTTTGCACACACTCTCACTTAATACTTACATGGTGTTGCTAATAATATGGCACCTTGCCATGGGAAAATGTTCTTTAAATAAATACTAAGCAGGCCTTTTCTTTCTCTATGACATATACATGGAGAAAATAACTATTTAGGGTCTGATCCTACTTCTGTTGATGTCAGTACCAAAACTCCCAATTATTTAAATGCTTGGATACCATGGCATATCAAAACTTATATAGACAGATTTAAGTGGCAGCAAGATCAGGCCTTTAATGAATTTTTTGGTATACTGTGTTCAAATTCTTACTATATGGCCTTTTAAAATGTGTTTTATATCTTCAGGGGATAGCAACTGCTCTAATAAAAGCAATGAATGAAGTGGGCTGCTTAAAGCCAAAGTTTCCATTCCTAAGTGTAAAAAAAACTGCTCTGTTGTTTGTGGCCTATCATTTAAAAGGTAAGATAAAACATGTGCTATAATAATAGCATTAATTGAATAAATACAATGGATTATTTTATATAATATTGTTAGATAAAAATTATTTCCCCACTCTTCTAAAGTCTGATTCCTTAAAAAATAAATACTATACATAGCATAGTAATAACAAGTTTTTATTGAGCATCAAGGTGACAGAGGTGTTAATATCCCCACAAAAATATTGTGAGTCTTTACTTAGTGCACAAGGGAAATGTTCCCCATCCTGGATTAACTAGTTTGAAAAAAAAAAAAACTAAATTGCTTTTAAAGCTAGCTGGAGTTGTAGTACAAGCCAGTCTTGGACAACCAGGACCATTTTAAAAACTGGTTGGAGTCGCTGTAATAAAGGATACGGAAAGATCAACTTAGCACATTTATCTGACCTACGTCAATTTCCAGAAAAGGATCGACCAAAATATCAGTGCATGATCTGTTTTTAAAAATGGTTTAGCTGAAATAGATTTTAGTGTCATATGGAGCATTAGTAGCTCTAAGGCCAGCTCAATAGCATGGATTCAGATACTGATCAACTAAATTAGACCTAGTTATGATATAAAAAGCTGCATTGGTAACTTTCTAAGGAAGGATACAACTCAGACATTCATGATGGTGTCATTAGATTTTTAGCAGCCTTTATCACAGTAAAGACATTAGAGGGGAGTTAACCTTTCCCTATGCTATCCAAAACTTAAAAAAATGTTTGGCTAGAGTTTCCCCTACAATATGTACCAGTTCCAACTTACATACAAATTCAACTTAAGAACAAACCTACAGTCCCTATCTTGTACGTAACCCGGGGACTGCCTGTAGTAACTAAGATTTATTCAGGGATATTTATAGTAGTAGTCATGGGCAGGTCATGGGCAGAGAATTTTTTTTTTATTTCCCATGAGCTAGCCATGATTTCCTGTGTATTCATGTTGTTGACCTGCCTGCTTATTTATGGTGTCACTGGGGAAAATTTCAAAACTTATGGGTAAGGATGTGAGTCTGTCACTGATGTCACAGATTCTGTGAATTTCTATGACTTTTGCAGCTGCAGTGGCTAGTATGGCTGACCCCAGAGTTGCCTCAGCAGCTTTGACAAGCCCTGGGACCAATCACACAGCCACTGTGTATTCAGGAGTCTAACATTTCCCTGGTTTGTGACTGAGCTATGCCTTCTGTGCAGATATAGAAGGCAGGTCAGTGCTGTTGCTTGAGGACTCTGGTGCAAGACCACACCCGTTTCTTCCACCCACCAGAAGTCTTGCCTCTGACAGAGCAATATGTTCAGTGATTCAGCTCTCCCCTGCCTTTTGTTATTTTTAACCTCTTGTTTTATGTGGGCTGTTTTTTGCTTTTGTTTTTAAGGTAACTGCAAGTTTATCTTCTCTGTCATTTTCTTCATATACTTTGTGTCTCTCTGGAGCTTTCAGAGCACTGGAGTCCTCTCTAAAAGATTAATTAACACCTTACTAGTATCAGTAAGGGAGACATGTCTTGACCCTTAGGAGTGTGTAGTGAGCTCGAGCAACAGAATTATCCTTCAACCACTCATAAGCCTCCAGGGCTATTAGATGCCTTACCACTAATTTTGAGAGACGTGTGACTATCATCCCAGAATGGGACTTGCATTTGGTCTTACAGACTCTTGCTGCTTTGCTCAATTCTTCTTTGAGTGTTTGCACATGGAGATCCCATGCTTAGGCTATGTCTAGACTGCCACTTTTTATCGGAAAAAGGTACGCAAATTGCGCTCCGTAATTTGTGTATCTTTTTCCAATTGTTTTTTCAGAAGAGGCTTTTCCAAAATTTGGTCAAATTTCAG